TTTTTTTTTTTTTTGAGACAGACCCTTTCTCTTTTGTCCAGGCTGGAGTGCAGTGGTGTGATCTTAACTCACTGCAACCTCCACCTCCTGTGTTCAAATGATTCTCCCACCTCAGCCTCCCAAGTAGCTGGGATTACAGGTGCCCACCACCATGCCCGGCTAATTTTTGCATTTTTAGTAGAGACAGCGTTTCACTATGTTGGCCAGGCTGGTCTCGAACTCCTGACCTCAGCGAATCCACCTGCCTTGGCCTCCCAAAGTGCTGGGATTACAAGCGTGAACCACCATGCCCAGCCTAAAACAAACAAACAAAAAAATTCTTTTTTAAGAGATGGAGTTCTCACTACGGACTGGTCTTGTCCTCCTGGGCCCAAAATGCTGGATTACAGGCCTGAGCCACCACACCCAGCCCAAGCCAGGAGATTTTTAACAGAGGTCTTGTCCGTGAGATTGCTGAACTGCCAAATCTATACCAAAATCTGGTATTCTGCTATATTTAGCAGAAAGAAATCCCAACTTATACAAGACTAAATGAGTCTCTGAATGAGAAGAAACTAGCCAAATTTCCAAAGCCACAATGCCTTAACTTTTCTGGAAGAACCGCTCAGACTCAATCAGAGTTCAGCCTCCATCATCAGGGTGATTTTTCTTTGTTACCTCTTCGGTCTTAAACCTGTTTTCTGTTACTTATAACAGAGTATCTGAGACTGAGTATTTTATAAGAAAAGTATTTTAAAAGGAAAGGAAGGTTGAGGGGCCATGTCTGGTGAGAGGGTGAGAGCCTTCTTGCTGGTGGGAACTCTGAGGAGTACTGAGATGGCTCAGGGCATCGTGTGGGGCTGAGGGTGCTGATGTGCTAGCTCAGGTCTGTCTTTCTCTTCTTATAAAGCTACCAATTCCAGTCCTGTGATAACCCGTTAATCCATTCATCTATTCACAACGGCAGAGCCCTCATAATCCACTCACCTCTTAAGGCCCCACCTCTCCAATACTGCCACACTGGAGATGAAGTTTCCAACACATCAAATTTTGAGGACTCATTCAAACCACAGAGTTAATGTTCACAGTAATTCTGTAACATAGTATCTTGACATCACAACTGAATGTGTTACAGAAGCCCTGTAGCTATGTTATCTGTCTTTTCTTTCTGTGAAATGTTGTGAATATAATGACCTTACAATCTACTTGTGAGCCCAATTATATGTGTGGGAGCTGCAATAAATAGGAAACTAAGGGGGTTTACTTAGCTGTGTAGAAGGGTAAACAGTGAAGGAAGGAGGCCTTCCTTCCTCCTCTCTTTGTTTTTTATGACTTCCAATCTTCCTCTCCATCTCTCTCCCCTCACCCTTCCTGATGGTCCCCTGGGCTTCCGTGGCAGGCCCGGAAACTGGGGCATAAAACTTCTTGGATGAGGCAAGTGGCCTAAACCCTGAAGTGTGGACAGAGAGGGACACAGAGGTAAAAGGGCCAAAGGTCTGTAGGCAGTGAACCTCTCTACTAAATACATTCCGGTAGTGGAAGCACTGGGGAGGCACAGAAAGCTTCCTGCAAGTTCCGGACGAGCCAGAGAGCTGCACCCGGGAGCCACGGAAGAAGCTGTCCTTCCAAATGGCCATGGCCCATGAACAGAGCCTGAGGAGCTGAGAAGGGAGACTGGAGTGAGCCAAAGCTCTATGTGTCCCCTAAGCCTCCAGCAAGGTCGAGATATAGCAACAGTTAGTGTGATACATGTCCACGGGCGACTCAGAAGGAATGCTCCTGCTCGGCACAATGGACAACACAAATGCCAAACTGTGAAGTGCTGCACTTCAGTTTTCTCCAGCCTCAGCGGACATGGATCCATGATTCACCGTGTTCCTGTGTTCATAGGAATGTCCCAAGGAGGCAAACATTCTGTCACCTCCCTGGCCTGCTCCTCCTTCCCGCCCACGGAGGACACAGTGTTACTTCAGCTCCTTCCCATTCTCTGCCATTGTCTACTATCTTTCCTTCCCACAGGATCAACACCTTCTCTGCTGGCTTTTGCCTCACCATCTAAACCTGCTCTGCCCTCCCCATCTCAAAACTCCATTTCGCCACTGTGTCCCCGTCTAGGGACCAGCCTCCCCTTTCCAGAGTCTCATTACCTACTTCAAGATCAATGCAACCTCCACAGTCTGCGTTGAGACCTCACCATTCCCTGACACTGATTTCCTAACTGCCAAATCCCACAGGTGGCGTGACCTCTTTGCAGCACTTGATACTTTGACCGCACCCTCCTCCCTGAAATCCTCTTCTCTGGCTCCTGTGGCAGAGGCTGCTAGCTACCTGCTCAATATCCAGCCTTTCTTCATCCTTACTAACTAGAACCCCCTCCTTCACCCCTGCCCCAAGTTCCACATCTACAACATAGGCACACACGGCCTGGACATGAGCCGGGTGATCTTCTACTCAGCCCAGATATAATTCAGTAATTATAATCGCTTAATTGTAATTCCCTTTTTAACCAAAAAATTTCACAAATGTCATTTATCAGCTTCCCCTGCAGCTAAGAAGTGGCCAGATCACAGTCCCAGCCAGTGATATCTAAGTGAAAGCTTGTTGGATGGAGCTTCAAGGAAAGCTCCTAAAGGGGGCCACACTCAACTGCTGCATGCGTGTCCATTTACTCCTGACCCCTCCTCCTTTCTCCTCTCTGGAACAGGGCCCTGATGACTGGGGCTACAGCAGCCATCTTGCAACACATGGAAAAGGCTAGAATTATAAAGATGTAGATCCCGTTATCCTGCAGCTGCTGAACTAATGCTGGCAAGTGCTTATTTCCACACCCTGTTACATAAGAAAAACAAACCTCTGTCTTGTTTAATCTGCTGTTATTTGGGTTTTCTGGGATATGCCCCTGAAACTCATCTCTAACTGATACAGCTCCTGTGACTATATCACTCCTGCCTTTCCTCCTACTTCTTAAACCTCTTCAGGGCCTCTTTTCTTCTGTATCCCCTACATGTTGGTGCTTTTCAGCATCTGTTCCTGGTCTGCTTCCCCCACTCTTTCCCAGTGACTCAGCAGTGCCCTCTGCTTCCCAAACCATGATGACTCCAAATCTCCATGTCTCTCCCAGGTCTTCCTCCACAGCACCAGGCCTATAGGTCTAAATGCCCAGTGAACATCTCTGCCTGCCCCTTCTACAGGAACCTCATAGACAACATAATCACAGGTTAACTCGCCAGCTTGCCCACACATCTGCTCTTCCTTCTGGCCACTGGTGCTAGAGACCCTCACCTTCCCCTCACCCCCATACCCAGCTGCTCCTGAAGTTCCATCAGATCTCTTTCCAAAAGCTCCAATTTGCTCCCACTTCTTTCATCCCACTGTCCTGTACCGACCCCCATTATCTCTTGCCTGGGCCACTCACTGCCTTAGCCTCCTAACTAACTTCCCTACCTATACCATCTACCTTCCAAATTGTTGCTGCATTGGTCTTTTTAAGACAGAAATCTAATCATGTCATTTCCCTTCCTAAATTAACCCTTCAGGATCCCCTCTTCCCCTACATGAAGGCATTCCAGGGCCTGTGGAAGCCCAGTCCTTCAGTCTTGTCAACACCCCTTCCCTCACAGCTACATAAAGTCACCACAGCAGTTTCTCAAACTTGCTATGATTTTTCTCATTTCCTTGGGGCCCTGTAGGCTGAAAACTGTACAAAAATAAGGTTTTAAGTAAGTATTTAAGAGCCAGGTTTGAGCCCTTGTCTTGCTGTGGAATCCCCCACCTTTGTGCACAGAGACTCAGAGGTAAAGATGTTAGAATTCCAGAGATTCTCCATTGTTCACCTAACATAATTGCTTAATTATAATTCCCTTTTTAACCAAAGAATTTTTAGCAAGTCACTTTGAACCAAACTGATTAAAATAAACATCAGTTGCCTTTGTTTTCTTCTATATATTTTCATTTAAATTTCATCTTCATCCAATGCAAAACATTTGCCAATTCCACACCAAAGAGGAAAGGAGATATTTTTCTTTTAATGTTCTAGGTGTGAGAGGATCATTCGTTTTCCTTCTTTCTTTATTTTGCTTTTTCTTTCTTTCTTTTTTTTTTGAGAGGGAGTCTCGCGCTGTCGCCCAGGCTGGAGTGCAGTGGCCGGATCTCAGCTCACTGCAAGCTCCGCCTCCCGGGTTTGCGCCATTCTCCTGCCTCAGCCTCCCGAGTAGCTGGGACCACAGGCGCCCGCCACCTTGCCCGGCTAGTTTTTTGTATTTTTTAGTAGAGACGGGGTTTCACTGTGTTAGCCAGGATGGTCTCGATCTCCTGACCTCGTGATCCGCCCGTCTCGGCCTCCCAAAGTGCTGGGATTACAGGCTTTTTTTTTTTTTTTTGAGACAGAGTCTCGCTCTGTTGAGCAGGCTGGAGTGCAGTCGTGTGATCTCAGCTCACTGCAACCTCTGCCTCCCGGGTTCAAGCAATTCTCCTGCCTCAACCTCCCGAGTAACTGGGATTACAGGAACCCGTCACCACACCCAGCTAATTTTTGTATTTTTACTAGAGATGGGGTTTCACCACATTGGCCAGGCTGGTCTCAAACTCCTGACCACAGGAGATCCACCCGCCTCGGCCTCCCCAAAGTGCTGGGATTACAGGCGTGAGCCATCACACCCAGCTGGATCATTCTTTTTCTTATCTGATTAAAGTTTACCTCCTAGGATCATGGAATTTTAGAGTCCAACCCCTTCATTTTCCAGAAAAGGAAACCAAGGCTCTGTTGGCTCAGGAACACAGCACCATAGAGGTGGTTATTGATGGGACACACCCGGACCCTGACTATGGATTCAGCTCTTTCCATCTCATGAAAGCACAGGCCATCCCCAACTCACAAAGGAGGCTCCCCCATCCCCTGTGAGAGGAGAGCAAAATAGCCCCCAAATAGCCAATGAAGCCAATCCTCTTATACCACTCCTCTTAAGGCAAGATGACAATGTAAGCGCTTTAGGAAAAAAACCAAAAGAATTAAGTACAAGGCTCTATTTGTCCTGGGAATAGAAAAGCCCTCTCCCCTCTTTTCCAACTCTGTGCCCCGCACTTGGGGCAGGTGGAGAGTCACTCACCCTCTGGGTGATGGGCTTGTCACCCTTCATCTGTACAGCCAGCCCCAGGTCAGATAACCTGCAGTTGCCGAGGTCATCTAGAAGCACATTCTCAGGCTTCATATCCCGGTAGACGATGCCGAGTTCATGGAGGTGCAGCATCCCACAGGCTATCTGGGCTGAGTAAAAGATCACCCGGCTCATGTCCAGGCCATGTGTGCCCACATTATAGATGTGGAACTTGAGGTCACCCCCATTCATCAGGCTCATGACAAGGCAGAGATGGGTCTTGCTCTCAAAGGCATAGGCCAGAGAGACAATGAAAGGGCTGCTGACCTTCTCCAAGATTTCCTTTTCCAAGAGAGCCATCTTCTCGCCACCTTTCTTCTTCAGCCGTTTCTTGTCCAGTTTCTTACAGGCATACATCTTCCCAGTGTTTTTCGCCTGGACAGCACATACCTTAAAGGAGAAAGAAAAGAAGAGAAAGAGGTAGAAGTAGATGATACTGGAGAGAGGTGGAGAGAAGATGATAAAGGAGGAGTTGCGTGGAAAGATGTCAGGCATTGGAGAAAGGAGAAGCTGTAAATAAGAAGTGTTCTCAAGAAAAAGTGGGGACTACAGTGAGATACTCCTTCACCTCACTAGGCAGACCTTCATAAAAAAATACAGGAAAATATCAAGTGTTGGCAAGGATGTGGAGAAACTGAAACCTTTAAGCATTGCTGGTGGGAATAAAAAATGTGGAATGTTTGGTGGTTCCTTAAAAAGTGAAACATAGTATCACCATATGACCTAGCAGTTCCACTCCTGGGCATAAATCCAAGAGAATTGAAAACAAGTATTCAAACAAATACTTGTGCATGAATAGCAGCACCACACACAATAGCCAAATGGTGAAAACAACCCAAATGTCCATCGACAGATGAATGGCTACATGAAATGTAGTATATCCATACAATGGAATATTATGCAGCCATAAAAAGGAATGGAGTACTGACACATGCTACAGTGTGAACGAACCCCCAAAACAGTCTAATGAGTGAAAGAAGCTGGACACAAAAGGTCACATATTGTGTGAAACATCCAGAATAGGCAAATCCCTAGAGACAGAAAGCAGACTAGTGGTTGCCAGGGCTGGAGGAGGAGAGGGATGGGGAGGCACTGTTAATGGGCACAGGGATGATGAGAGTGTCTTGGATCTAAATTGAGGTGTTGGTTACCCAACACTGCATATATGCAAAGTGCCACTGCACTGTACATTTTGAAATGGTTAATGGTTAGTTTTATATCAAACAAATTTTATCTGAAATTTTTTTATTACTTAAAAACAGAAAGCTGGGCACAACAGTGGTACAAAACAGGTTCTCAACCTTACTTCAAGATGAGTGTTTTCTTTCTTTCTTTCCTTCTTTCTTTCTTTCTTTTTTTTTTTTTTGAGAGAGAGTCTCACTCTGTTGCCCAGTCTGGAGTGCAGTGGCATGATCTCGGCTCGCTGCAACTTCCACCTCCCAGGCTCAAGTGATTGTCCTGCCTCAGCCTTCTGAGTAGCTGGGATTACAGGCATGCTACCACACCTGGCTAGTTAGAGTGTTTTCTTAAATATCCATTTTTCTGGTAGTACCTTCATAATCACAATTTAGGGGAAATGGAGATCTTCTGTCACACATTGCTATCATTCTCCAAAGTGTCCGGGCATCTCAGCATGTTCCTGATGGAGACCCATGACAGAGTCTTGGCCAAGTCTACATTTTGCTTGTCTCTCTCATGCCATTTGTGTTTTATTTCACACCACGGCTACAAGGAAGGGGACTGGGGAGACGGGGCTAGAAATCCTCCACATGTGGTCCTGAAATTAGTTCTAAGTAATGAGATTTTAAAAAAGAAAGGCAGCATTACCCCCTTTCATGCTCTCTGTTTCACCTTCTAGCCTGGCTACTGGGCGACACTTACCTCCCCAAAACCACCTTTCCCCAGCACTCTGAACTCGGTGAAGTACTTGTCTGACACTGGTTGCATCTCAAAGAGTTTCCACTGCAAAAACTTGTCATAGAAGGGGCTGGTCAGGAAATCCTTGAAGGGCTGCTCTTGCAAGAAGGCCATGGCCTCAGACTTGGCCAGTGTCACTGCGGCCACTCGGTCTTCCTCGGTGGTGGCTGCTTGGCACTTGGTGGCCATAGCCTGGCTGAAGAAGGGGTGTGGGTTCCCTGGGGCAGGGCCACTCGCACAAGCGGCCACCAGCCCCTGCAGCGTGCTGTCCTTGGTAGGTCCCTCCTCGGCCAGCTCCCAGTTCTGCACGTCCTCTAGGAAGGTTGCTGCCTCGCGGAACGTGGGCACAGTGGCTAGGAAGTCACGGAAGAGGCGGCGACCAATGGGCTGCTGCTCACACAGGCTGTGGAAATTCGGGGACAGCTTCTGGCGGAGCTCTGCGCAGCCCTGCAGCCCGGGCAGGGCCAGGCTGCGCCGTCGCCGCTGCAGCTCCTTGCTGTCGCAGTCCGAAGGCTTCCGGGCCTGCAGGTAGGCCGTGTTGGCGATCAGGTTGTCCAGGGCCCCCATGTCCACCATGGCTGAGCACGGGGCACAATCCCAGGGAAAGCACAAGAGGACTGGAGGGCTGCTGGCTGCTTTCCCTTCCCCGGGTGAGACAACGTCCAGGGGATTTACAGTGAGCCCTGTGGCCTGCAGGTAGGACCCATGGAGGGTGTGAAAGAGGTTTCTCTTGTAAGAAGCTTTGACTGGCTATGTATAGCCCGCTGGGAACTGCACATGACAGGTCATGCTCCCACCTGTCAAGGCGAAAGCCGCTGGGACACCTGCTGGGGCCACCTCCCCCACTGGCCTATTCATCTTAGCGTCTTTCTCCACATAGCCCTGTACCCTGAATATCTAGCTAGAACCATGTTCCAAGGAAGTGATCTTACTGTTGTCATCTAATTTGTTGCTGATGCAGTAGTTTAATCTGTTTCTAATTTTACTTGTTTCCTACCAGGCTCAAGCTTTGTAAACTCCTAGGAACAGCAGGTCAGGCAGAGGAACTGTGAGAAGTCGGAGCAGTTTCCTCCCAGAGTCTAGCAGCCTGACATGAAGAGCAGGTTAGAGGGGATGTTTCGAGCTTTGAGTCCTGAGATGTGTTCCCAGAGGCCCTAAGGACTCCAGTGTTGGACAGTGCAGATGCACCCTGAATAGCTTGCAAAAATCCTCCAGCCTTCTTAGCTCTGAGGAGTCTGTGACCTGGAGTACCTTGGGTTAAAAGAGGGGGCCATCTCCACCCAAAACGTACCATGAAGCAGTATAAGCAGAAAAAGCCATATTCCTGAAATGAAGGGAGTTGGCCTGGAGTGTCTGGGCTCTGAATGAGACAAGAATTTTCCATGATCCCAAAGACAGAAAGCACGTCACTCCCGGCATGCGGTCGCGACTGTTCCAAGGGCACAATCTAACGAGCAGACTCTGAATGCTGAGGAGCCTTCGCGAGGAGACCAAGAGCAGTGAAGTTTCAGATGTGGCCCCTTGACATCTTTGCCCATGCACCCCACCAAGCGAGGAAGCTTCCCTCGACGGAGGATGCTCGGAGCTGTCACAGACCTCGGCCTCATCGAGACAGAAATTGATCTAGACAGAGATCAGGCTAAGAACCTCTGCTCCAAAAATAACAACCTGTGTCCCACAGGGAAAGGATACTCAGGCTTTTTCTTCACAAAGCAAGGCTAAGGCAGCTTAAAAACAAAGTCATTCAGTATTATGCCAGAGTGTTTACAAGGGGAAAAAAAGAAAGAGGGAGAAGGAGGGGAAAAAAAGCTGGTCAGTCTTTTTCTAAACAAACAACTGCTAGCATACACTTTGTGAAAACAGTCATGACTGCCTTGCTCTGCCTGTCAGAACCTCCGACTGTTCCCCTAGAGCAGATACACACTTGGCCTCATGCTACCAGGAATTATGTAATGAACTCGTGGGTGCCCTTTGGCTTTGCACCGCTGCGCTGGAAACTATCACCTCTGCTGTGGAGTTGGATGATCTGCACTGGTGCCTACTGCTCTGAACCATGCTGCCTGCTTTGAAACCCACACGGGAAATGTTGGTACTTTTCTGTTCTTTATGTTACCCTGGTCCACATTGTTCAGTAGTGAAAAATTGGTCTGAGAATTTCTTCGGAGGAACAAATGCCTTTTCCCGTGGTTCTTAGGAATGTAGTGGCAGCCTAGGAGGGTAGAACCTTGAGAAAATGATAGCATTGATATCACAGAGATATTTAAGCTTATCACTGGGGAAAAACATGCTTTCACTGGTGAATATGCATGCTATGAACTCCTTGAAGTTCTATTTAAAATGAAACATTTTCTTTTCCTTTTTTTTTTTCTGTTTTGAGACAGGGTCTCACTCTGTTGCCCAGGCTAGTGTGCAGTGGCTCCGTCTCAGCTCACTGCAGCCTCGACCTCCTGGGCTCAAGGGATCCTCCCACCTCAGCCTCCCGATTTGCTGGGACTACAGGCATGCACCACCACACTTGGCTAATTTTTGTATTTTTAGTGGAGACATGTTGCCCAGGCTGGTCTCAAACTCCTGGCCTCACATAATCCACCTACCTCAGCTTCTGAAACTGCTGAGATTAGAGGCATGAGCTACTATGCCCGGCTGGAACACTTTCTGTGATTGCTAACAATAGGATCCAGAGCTTTTCCCAACTTAATGAAACAGTAATTATAGGTTCAACTAAAGAACAGCATTGAATTCTTATATTAGAAGCAGAGCACGCACTTTGTCAAAAGTGCTGGGCACAGTCAGCATCCCTTGCACCAAGTGGGGAAACGTACCAGAAACCTGGGGTTGGAGATGTGGCCCAATAGTTACGAGCACTAAGTCCAGCACTGCTTGGGAAATCTGAATCCTGGCTTTAGCAAGTCCTAGCTGTGTGACTTTCAGCAAGTTACTTAACTTCTCTGAGCCTTGGTTTCATCATTTATAAAACAGGTAATAAATGTTGATTCTTGGGTAAGCTTTGAGAGAATTAAATGCCAAATGCCTGGCACAAAGAAGTGATCAAAAATATTAGCTTTTAAACCACGACCATCACGCCGGGCACGGTGGCTCACGCCTGTAATCCCAGTACTTTAGGAGGCCAAGGTGGGTGGATCACGAGGTCAGGAGATCGAGACCGTCCTGGCTAACACGGTGAAACCCCGTCTCTACTAAAAATACAAAAAAAATTAGCTGGGCGTGGTGGCGGGCGCCTATAGTCCCAGCTACTTAGGAGGCTGAGGCAGGAGAATGGCGTGAACCTGGTAGGCAAAGCTTGCAGTGAGCTGAGATCACACCACTGCACTCCAGCCTGGGCGACAAAGCAAGACTCCGTCTCAAACATAAATAAATAAATAAAAATAAATAATAATAATAAATCATGACGATCAATCATCAAAATTTAGTTCAAAATTCTGCTTTTCTAATATGCAGATTGGAGAGGAGAAAGGCCTAAGGGATGTAGAAGAAGATGGCTTCCTGTGTCCCATGCACAACTAGTATAGCACAGCCAATTCAGTATTTGCACGGGACCTTGGAAAGCTGTGATGCCCCATGCAGCTAGAAGACAGGGAGGTCAGATTTGTTAAACATCATGCAAGATTTCTAACACACTATTGTAACTCAACAATTTACTGTATTCCACCACAAAAAGAAGACTAACCTCTGTCATATGAAAAGAGGATATACTTCTTTATTTTTATTTTATTTTTTCAATTTTTTTTTTTTTTTTTTTGAGACAAAGCCTCGCTCTGTTGGCCAGGCTGGAGTTCAGTGGCATGATCTCAGCTCACTGCAACCTCTGCCTCCCAGGTTCAAGCAATTCTCGTACCTCAGCCTCCTAGGTAGCTGGGATTACAGGCATATGGCAACACGCCCAGATAATTTTTGTATTTTTAGTAGAGATAGGGTCTCACCTCGTTGGCTAGGCTGGTCTTGAACTCCTGACCTCAAGTGATCTGCCCGCCTCATCCTCCCAAAGTGCTGGGACTACAGGTATGAGCCACTGCACCCGACCTCAACTTTTATTTTAGATTAGGGGATGTTTCATTTTGAATGAAAAATCATAACTTTTATGATAGTAGAAAGCAATTTAAATATTTTAGTATTTTTGGGACCCATTTTGTAACCTAGGGAAAAGAAAAAAATGCTCTTGCCCAGGTCTTTCATTACCCTTTGCATCATTTAAAGCATTATTAATGATGTACATGTTCTTAATTTTAAAATTTTCTCTCTGAAAATACATCCTAAGATTAACTGTTTAAGGAAAATAGTAAAGCTAAGTTTCTAATAAGAAACGGACCATCCTTTAAAATGCACAATTCTCTGCATGGTCCAATAGCACATCTATTTGAAGATCAAGAATTAGGAAGTAATATAGGGCAGTGCTATATGGTCTTAGAAACACAGAGAAGCTATTTTGAGCAGTGTAAGTTCTGAAGCAGACTAATATGTTAGCATTAAAATACCCAAAGAGGCTAAACACGATGGCTCATGCCTGTAATCCCAGCACTTTGGGAGGCTGAGATGGGTGGATCACGAGGTCAGGAGTTTGAAACCAGCCTGGCCAACATGGTGAAACCTCATCTCTACTAAAAATACAAAAATTAGCTGCATATGGTGGCATATGACTGTAATCCCAGATACTTGGGAGGCTGAGGCAGGAGAGTTGCTTGAACCTGGGAGGTGGAAGTTGCAGTGAGCTGAGATCGTGCCACTGTACTCTAGCCTGGGCAACAGAGCAAGATTCTGTCTTGGGAAAAATTAATTTATTAATTAAATAAAATAAAACAAAATACCTAAAGAACCCAGGTTGTTCTTTAGCTTCAAGTTGTTGATAGTTCAACAACTTTTGTTGTTGTTTAAAAATAGATTTAGGGGCTGGGTGCAGTGGCTCATGCCTATAATCCCAGTACTTTGGGAGGCCGAGATGGGTGGGTCACCTGAGGTCAGGAGTTTGAGACCAGCCTGACCAACATGGTGAAAGTCCGGGTCTACTAAAAATACAAAAATTAGCTGGGCATGGTGGCGGGTGCCTGTAATCCCAGCTACTTGGGAGGCTGAGGCAGAAGAACTGCTTGAACCCAGGAGGCAGAGGTTGCAGTAAGCCTAGATCACACCACTGCACTCCAGCCTGGGTGACAAAGCAACACTCAGTCTCAAAAAAAAAAAAAAAAAAAAAAAAAAGATTTAGGGGGTACAAGTACAGTTTTGTTATATGGCTATATTACATAATGATGAAGTCTATGCGTTTAGTGTAGCCATCACTTGAATAATGTACATTATACACATTAAGTAATTTCTTATCCCTTACCCCTACTCCCACCTTCCTACCCTCCCATCCTTCCTAGACTTCAGTGTTTATTATTCTACTCTCTATGTACATATGTACATGTTATTTAGTTACTGATTATTGAGAGAGTACATGCTGTATTTGACTTTCTCTTTCTGAGTTGTTTTACTTACATAATAATGGCCTCCAGTTCCATCCACATTGATGTAAAAGACATGATTCCATTCTTTTTTATGGCTGAGTAGTATTCCATGTACGG